TACTCGTCAATAATCATAGTAATAATAATAATAATAATAATAATAATAATACAATGATATGTGAGAAAAGATCGAAAAGTCAATTTCATTTGATTATGACCGGTTGTATGTACACATTAGTCACATTGGTTTATCCTAATAGTTAAAATTACTATTGATTTAATTGGTCCTGCGGTTGGTCATAGTATGGGAAAAGTTGAACACAACGCATAAACTGTCTTCTTATCTGATATTGTTGTAGCATGTAAACATATAGCCGATGTTTTAACTATTTTTTTTCAAGTTGTATTTGATTTCTAAATGGCCCAATAGAAATACCAAAGGATAAACAATATATGAAAGCTAATACGTCTATAAATTTCGATCCACACACATTGCGGGAAGCACCCAAATGCATCATCACAAGACAAGCCCTCACTTGGATCTCTCAAGGACAAAGGAAAAGAGTAAGGCCAAAGAATATATATACCACACCGAGAAATGAAGACAGACATCAGAAGAATAAACAAAAATTGGACAGGACTGGGAAGGCAGGCTCAAGAGAGGGCAGGTTGGAGAATACTGGTCGGCGGCCTATGCGGCAGCCTTTGGGGGTAACAGGCGCAAGTAAGTAAGTACTATTAACTTGCTGAAACTATTGTCGTTAAATAGTGAAAAGTTAATGAACATCATTTTATTTAATTGTTCAATTTATTGGAAAGTACAAATTCCTAAGGACAATCAACATCATGTTGAAATTGTTTTTTTAAAAATCATTAAATCAAAACTTGGTTTGAACACCAATGTTCTATGAATAAACTATGCCAAAGAATGTGATGAAAACATTTAGTTACTTGAAAAATGTTGATTTAACGGGTAAGAGAATTGAATCACTTAAAAACAAAACAGTGTATATCGATTGGAAATTGTTGAAATTCAACTAAGGATTATTCAGTGTGAATGAAAGCTAATGTAATATGTATGTTTAGATAAGAATAGTAAGTTGAACACTTCAGTGTTATTTATGAAAGCTTATCTAATTCAAGCTTAATTCGGTTATGGAGATTAGTGTTTTTACACATTTGAAATCATCAATCAATCATTCACTGTTAGACCACCATTAGAAACCTACAAGCACCTACACGGCCATTTCGTCTCGGTATGGGACTCATCAGTGGCATTGCGCATCCACGACCCCTGCACCACTCAGGATTCGAACCCGGGACCTTCAGTATTATATGCGAATGCCTAACCATCGTGCCACTGGGCCGGCATCCAACAGTGTTAATGTCTAACTCTGATTGATCTAGGGATTTCGAGCGACCTCACCCATTTTTCTTTGGTAGTTACTTTCTACACCCGACAGGGATGAACTCCACTGGTCACGTCTTCTCACTGGAACTCCGAGAATTTCCTCACGAAGCTAGTCACTAGTTTATTTAATTTTTAAAATAAATCTCATAAATCAAACTAATTAGAATGTATCAGTTTGTCGAAATGTTAAAGAAAATCAACCTAACTGGAACTAAGGTCAAAATAGTTCATCTTTGATATTGATTTATACACTAAGATTAGTGTTCACAATACCAAATTAGTTGACAGAATTCGATCAATACAAAAGAAGGATTCGGCAAATATATGCGTGAAGTTAGCACTCACTGGTCAATTCATGCAAATTGATTCACTCGACACTGTTCTAAATTTAGTCTGGTCAAAACAAAAACTTGTTATTGTTTACAAAAATAATGAGTTGTTTTGTTGCATTCAATTCATGTGATTAAATCAGTTAACTGCAAAAACGAGTGAATTATTTTCTGCTCTATCGAACTTATTCACCTCATTGACTTTCTGTCGACTAATGGCTCGCGGAATCCATGAATAATGACCGGAGAATTGTAATTCTTGATTATCCAGAAGCTATTGCTTATACAAAGTAGAAAACAGCGTAATCAATATTCTGTTTATCGATTGCTAACATCACTCAAACACGGGCAATTATATACATCAGTTACTTGATCATACTACATAACGATAAGAAATTACAATGCGACTATAGGTCAGTAGTTAATTTGTAATAGCTTAGGGAAAGCGAAACATGTGACAACAGTTGATGCGTTAAACGGAAGTTAATTTAGGGGAAAATTAGATGACATAAATTTAAGTATTTAATTATCCAATAAATGTATAAACAGTAAATTCAATTTGAATAGTTCTGAAAATAGTTTTGTAGTTTTGTAGTGTAGGAGTAGGTTGGAAAAAAGTAAGGGACGGCCAGACCAAAACATGGCACAAATCCATGAAGTCATTGACGAATGGACTTAGCCATGTCGGTAATTTTCGACTATCTGGTTGGGGTCCGCGAGATGATAATAATCGATGGTTAGAGACCTTGAATGAAATGGCTCAAAGTCGTTCGCAATGGCGCCGGTGCATTTATTCTTTGTTCTCTCTAATCCTGATCCTCTGGGTTCTTCAACACCTCTAGTTTTGACTTTCTAAACTTTTCTCATTTAATCATACTTCTTGAATAATATCTTCTAATCCTAACCTCCCCGATTACTTCTGATACCCTTACTACCTCTTCTACTTTTGGATTTAAATTGACAATTACATCTCTGTGGTGATGTGGTATGGCAACATGAACTGATGTACTTACGTACGAAGTTCTACGTTACATCTGACTGACTGACTGACTGAAAATTTAACTTAACAATTGCTCCAAAACTTACTTAATTACGCCTGTTATCCCTAATGGAGCATAAGCCGCTGACAAGCGAATATTTTTTATAGTTAGTGCGTTATTTTTAGTGCGTTGGATTTCTACAGGATGGGGTCGGTGTTTTCTCCGGTCTTGGGATCGGTAGTAAACACTGAAGGACTTCAAGCGGAGTTAATTGCATAAGAATACTATTAAATATGGGTTCAATATTCTTGTAAATGTCAAATGGTGACAACAAGGGAATTGATTAACTTGAAGACAGCTTTTTCCTAGAACTGAACTGATGAATGAATTGAGAGAAATAAGTCATTGAAGAGCTCACTTTAGAAAGAAACATGATAAAAATGGAAACTATCAGTGCACCTTAGCATATTTTCAATGTCTGAAATGTAAATGGATAATAGATGTCTCCATTATGAAAATGGAAACATGAATTTCTTAAGTAGTCAACAAAGTCAATCTATCTAAAAAGTTTACAAAAAAGTTAATCAGTATGTCTGCTTTCATTTGACTTTCATTATTTTAATGAATAGTTTTGACATCTTCACTAAATTTTGAGAAACTACAGTAATAGGACCGACCAGTGGAGAATAATATGATCACTTCTTATGGATAAGTTTATCTATATACACAATAATCAACCTTGACAGTTGGCGTAATTCAAGAAAATTCAGTAGATGTGACCTTGTTCCACCTAATTTTCACACTAGTTCATAGGCTATTTCGGGGCACAGTTTTGGAGGTTTGCGTTTTTACACATTTGAAATCATCAATCAATCATTGTTAGACCACCATTATTAGAATCCTGGAAGCACTGGACGGCCGTTTCGTCCTAGTATGGGACTCCTCAGCAGTGCGCATCCCTAGATCAATCAGAGTTAGACATTAACACCGTTGGATGCCTGCCCAGTGGCCTAATGGTAAGGCGTTCGCCTACAATGCCAAATGTCCCAGGTTCGAATCCTGCGTGTAGCAGGAGTCGTGGATGCGCACTGCTAAGGAGTCCCATACTAGGACGAAACGGCCGTCCAGTTCTTCCAGGTTTCTAATGGTGGTCTAACAATGATTGATTGATGATTTCAAATAGTTCATAGGCATTAGTAAAACATTTCTACCATTTTTCAATGATGTGATGCTTGCTCTCTCTCTGGTCCTCGAATCAATGCCATCCAGTATATCAAAGTTGTAGACGTAAGCCTTGTTTTCATCAATCACGACTCATTTTATTCTAAATATTCTTCACAACATTCACTAATAATAATCTGTTTGATTGAACTCAGTCTCAAGTAGAATATTTTCAGTCTCATAATTTAAAACAAAAGCTAAATCGATTTGAATGAGACAGTTTAAACCAATAAAAAATTGTGTGCAGTCAGTTAGTCAGTTAGTTAGTTGGCTGTAGTAGTAGTACTAGTAGTAGTAGTATGAAAGCTCATGCATGTTACACGACATACACACCGCACACACACACACACACACACAACTAGAATGGAGTGAAATAATTCAATATACAAAATGAATTGACCATCAAACAATGCGTATACTTTCATTCTATAGGAGGATATGAAGATGTACAATGAAACACAGTGACAGTTAAAACTTTTAAACTAACAACTGTCTTTATTTACATCGGAAATCTTTCACAATGAGCAAATATCCAACGTCAACCCACTCAATGGTGCACTCAAACCACTCAAACGCATGTACATACGCGCACACACATACACACACACATGCATTCATACACACATTGATCGATCGATCTATGTAAGTGAGCGGTAATGTGAATTTCAATGAGAATATAGTTTTGTTCAATATTGAATACAATAATTAGCCGTAACCATTCATAATAATACTCACAATTGAAATATGATTTAAAAATTGAACTATAAAATAAATTTCGTCTTTACTTTGAGAAAATTAAGAAAAAAAAACGAAAACAGAAACAGTCAAATGCTGAATCCTATCTACCATTCATTATAGAGGAGTAATGATCAATTAATTCTTTTGCTACTCAGTTTTAAAACACAATCTCATATTACTAACTGAATATAATTGAAAAAATTTGTTAATTTTATTCGGACTAAAAGACAAATTAAAACAAGCAATGAAAAAAATGGAATCGCGCTCTATTTGATCAAGTTTTATTCTTCAATATTCAAAAAATCAACAACATATGTCATACAACTGAAAAAAAATTATCAAGGAATTAGTTTTTTTTAACAGATTCATTATTTGTAAATCAAAAAAAAAATAAAATAAAATTACGAACAGATTGGAACATTGAATGGGATCTTGTTAAATTTTCAATAACAATACGATTGTTCGCAGTATCATTTTGACAACACTTGATAATTTCATCAGTGAGTGCGTCCCGATTTGTTTGGTAACTTTGTTCTTTAAAACAGGAACTATTCTTCATTGCATCTTGTTTAATTGGGATAAAATAGAGGAATAATATTTTCAAGAAAAAATAAAATAAAATAAAACAGTCACACTATGGGTTGGTTTCATCGGCACCATAAAAAGAAATATGATCAATATGAGGTGAGTAACAACACTGTTGTTTAGTTATTTTGATTGATAAACCAATGAATAACCAATATTTAAGTCCTACTGTTCAAGCTAAGTCGGTGCAGTGAATTTGAATCACACCTGAAATATCCGTTCCATCAAACTGAATAGTGTAAAACTCTACCTGCAGACCTTCTGTCGGTTACTGTTGGTCCCAAGCATAGATTAAGGAAGAAGGTTGGGCATCAACTTAGTGACCACATCCAGTAGAAAACTTACTCGCCAAAAAAACCCACTAGCCTCAACAAATAATTTGAAACATTTAAACTCTATCCTTACAGTTCGAAGTTATCGATTGAGAACAATTACCACGCTTTATGATGAAATTTAAGTTTCTTCGGAAGTCACGACGTAGATACCTCTCCTAACAATCAGAGCAACCATTAATATCAGTCAGTCAGTCAGTTGCAACGTAGAACTTCGTACGTATGTACATAAGTTCAGGTTGCCATACCAAATTAGCATAGAGATGCAAATGTCAAATCAAATCCCATAGTGTGATAAAGATAGTAGAGGTGGTATTAATGGTAATGAAGAAGACTAGGGTTCGAAGATATTATTCAAGAAGTATAATTCAGTGTGATAAGGTTAGAAAGACAAAGGTAGAAGTGCTGACGAATCCATAAGATTAGGATTTGAGAGAGCTCAAAGAATGGATGCACTTGCGCCATTGCAAACGATTTTCAGGCATGTCGTTCAATGTCTCAAACCATAGGTGACCAAAGTCACCGAATGGAATGTTCGTACATTGGAAGATTTGGATAGTCATTCAAGTTGCTGCGTACATGAAAAGATACAAACTTATGGAGTTTGCAATAAGTGGAACACATTGGACGCAGGTTGGATAGAGACGACTAGCTTCAGGAGAGATGCCGTTACACCCGACTATTATTATTCATATGTGTCTGTATCATCACACAGTTAAGTTTAAGAACTAGGCAATCCCCATTGACATTTGAACTACTGTTCTAACAAGTCCCTAGATGTGTTATTCTGTAGTAACAAATTGTTGGCACGCTCTGGATTTTGATATATAATTAGAAAGAACTTGTAACAAGAAGAATTTTAATTACCTGAAAAAAATATACACATATATTCTATGCACTGAACTATTGTGAAATTTTTTTTAGTGGTCAATAAGTCCTTATTTGGAATTGAAATTATTATACCATAAATTTCTATTTATATCTTAAGCGAGAAAAATTATTTTGCTGTTAATAATGAGAAATAATTACACAATCATACGTAAATTTCATTTAAAATATTGACTGTTGGATTGTAATTAACCTTTTTTTTCTTTTCACTAATTAAACGAGACACAATCATCATTAAAACTATTCTTCTAAGAGAGATTAGTGTGTTTTTCATTGAAACTAAATAATAATTCATTTGGAATATTTCTTCGTAAAATATTTTGCTTGAATTTGACCAGTCTTATTTGATATATGTAGTACATCTTGTGTCGTCACATCACAAATTCATGTGGAACAGATGAGACTCGGCTAGCAGTGTAATCAAGGTGGTGTGTGTTTTGCACTCATCAAGATTGGTCAACCCAATCTACTCTGTTTCCGAAATTGATATTTATTTCGAAATTTGGACCCAGTATTTTCCGTTTCAAACTTCTAGCATGATATCTTGAGATGCAAGTACGTCTGCCTAATAAGTTCTAAAGAGGACGAAATGTGAGTCGTCGATTCCATTTTTAGCCAACCCCCATACTTTGGATATGAATCGTTCCTTACAAGATTTACATATGCCAAATAAGAATGATCGAATTCGATTAAATTATACACAATGAGTTATTACGACTCATTACAAATTGTCATGAATTGTTTGACTTCAGTTCTTAGCAAAATTAATTTTAATATTGGACACTGATGACTAATGAAGTGATTGATTGCTTTCTGAGAAAAGTGATGATTATGTTGAACTGATGCATATTTAATCCTAGTCTTCTAAATAGACGAATTGTACAAAGTCAATCTATAAAATTTGAAAAGGTCCATAAATTTTACTGAATTACTTTCGTCTGTTTCCTCTAATAGAGCATAGGCCGCCGACTAGCATTCTCCAATCTACTCTGTCTTGGGCTTCCGTTTCCAGTTCTATCCAGCTTTCTTGTATCCTTCTCATATTGTCTCTCTCCATTTCTCGGCTTAATGTGCTTTCTAGCCTTCCACTTCTCCTTTGACCTTGAGGATTCCAAGTGGGGGCTTGCCTTGTGACTTAATTGGTTGCTTTCCTCAATATGTGTCCCATATACTTTCACCGTTTCTTCCTGATTTCTTCCTACACTGGAATCCGATTTGTTCTCTCTCACAGCAGATTACTGCTGATGGTTTATGACCAAGGAGTGTGAACGTATAAACATATAAATTACTGAATAGTACAATGTTCTATAGTTCTAAATACGGTAACATTAAAATTCCCATGTTACACTGTTGACAATTAAGATGAAGTGAAATTTATTGATATTCTCATTCTATTTACATGAATCAATCATTTATTTCAAAGGGAATCCCGTAACAGCACGTGAGACTAAATCGATCGCAAACTAATCCATCCTACTCCTCTTAAACATCTCTCTTATCTCCATTGCTGCCACTATTGGATTTGAACTGACAGTTGCGTCTCTGTGCTAATGAAAGTATGGCAACCTGAACTAATGTACGTACGTACGTACGAAGTTCTACGTTGTACCTAACTGACTGATACAAATGGAATCCAACCATAATCAATGTAACCTGAAAGAAACAAAAAATTTAAATTTAAATTTGCTTGATTTAAATTTAAAGTTTTAGTTCATTCCTATCATTGAACATTTATCATGGATAAAGTATCAGTCATCATAAAATCGTAATTAAATATAAATTCTGGTTAATTGATTAGTTTTAGAAAAAAATTTTCTAATAGTTGAATTGATTTGAATGAATATTGAGTTTGATTGGATGTAAACAGTCATAACTTATTGTCAAAACTTGATGAATACATCTTGAATCAAGTGATTCACTAGTTAGGTTAGAAGTGTGTCATCTCATAAAAAGTGGAGGATTCACGGAGATTATTTGATTTAAGGTTTTCATGATGGACTATCTAGGAATTCAATGAAACTAGGGATTGAGTACTCAGTAAGTGTTATATCTTATCTTAGAAGTCATCATGTGTTTACCAAGGATTTGATGGACATGGACTTGGCCATGTCGGTAATTGTCGACTGGGGTCCGCGCGATGATAATAATTGATGGTTAGAGACCTTGAATGACATGGCTTAAAATCGTTCTCAGTAGCGCCGGTGCATTTATTCTCTGTGTCCTGTTGAATCCTAATCTTCTGGATTCTTCAACAACACTAGTTTTGACTTTCTAAACTTTTCTCACTGAATCATACTTCTTGAATAATATCTTTTAATCCTAACCTCTCCGATTACTTCTAATACCCTTACTACCTCTTCTACTTTTGGATTTGAATTGACAATTACATCTCTGTGCTGATGTGGTATGGCAACATGAACTGATGTACTTACGTACGAAGTTCTACGTTGCATCGGACTGACTGACTGACTGACTGAAGGATTTGATGCACATTAATTTCACCAAAACTTACAGATTCCACTGGTTGATAAGGTAGAGAACATGTAATTTCTGAGATTTATTTCTGTCTTTTACATATCAGTTACGAGGTTTTGAAGATTGTTAAGTGTTTAACTAACACCGTTAGATACCAGCTCAGTGGTCCAAAAGTTAGGTGTTCGCTCACGAATCATGCGAGGTGCAGGAGTCGTGGATGCGCACTGCTGGTGAGTCCCATACCAGGACAAAACGGTCCTCAAATCAGTGCTTCCAGGTTTCTAATGTTAGTCTAACATTGATCGATTCACGGTTTCAAAATGTGTAGTTTTACATATACTTCGTCAAGGCTTTTTCTGATATGATTAATCTCTTAACCTTATATGATGTTTTGCATGGACGTTCACGAGAATCCGACTGAATAGTTTTTTTAATAAAGTAGTTATCAAGGCGATCGAACGACTTAAATTTCAATCGTTAGAATAATGTCAAATATGATTTTTTTTACATTATATTTCTGTTTTATTTAACTGAACACATCTAAATGAGTTAGTGCTTATAGGGGATTTGTAGAGATTGTAGTATTCTCGTAATTGGAATCACAAACTAATCCTACCTAGATCATCATCGACAGCATGGAAGCGATGAACCGGCCCTACTAGTCTGATATACTTCGTGACCCTACTGGGGATCAAGCTTAGGACCTTCATTTATCTAGGTGAAGACTTAGACTTTAGATCACTAAGTTAGTATGCCCTGCTTTACATTTCTAGCTTCAATCAATTCATTCTATTGCACAGCCACTAGTCAGTCCGTAATTTCAAGTTTTAACTTCAACAGTTTTCAAAAAACCCTCTTAATAATGATATTTTCAGTGCTCATCAGTAAATAATTTTGAGAAACAGTTCCAGAAGTTTCAGTACGAACCCTATCCAATGTATGGCAGTCACTCAAAATTTTTGTGTTTTATCTGTCATGAAGTTTTGGATGATTATTTCTGAGGATTTTTCATAGGTTGTTATAAACTAGGGCAGCATCCAAAGTTAGGGTTTATTCCTTAGAGAGTTCATGAAGAAGCAGGAACGTAGAAAAAATCGATATCTTATAGGGTTTTATCCTTTTTAATAGTCCAACTGATGTTAATTCTTGGGGAAAATTAACTTCAAATAAAGATAATGAGTTGAAATGATCGATCATTTAGAGTTGCAACGTAAGATCAGTTTGTGATGATTGATCTTTCTATCAGTATTAAACAAGGGATTGTGAATAGTTGGGGTGTTATCTAGTAAGACAATGAAGCTTCTGCATTGAAGCGTCACTTTTTCATCAGAGTCCAAGTGAACAGGGTCTTAATTCACACCTTCAAACATCACATTTAGTGGATTGTATTGTGAAGTTATTGAA